CTTAACATCGAGTACCGCCTGTTCCAACTCGTTTTGCCATCTTTAAGTCGAAAACAGCGCGTGGTAAACCCCGGCTAGGCCTAATCCTTGTACTAACAATCGAACCAGAGCAAGAAACCAAGTCATCGACAGAAGAAAAACGATTGACTTGTCAAGATTCTTTCTTCGCTCCGGTGACGTTCTCGGATGATTCCCCGCCAGTTGACGTGGTTCTAATAAGCAGGCGATTGTGTCCGGTTCGTAAGAAAATCTGAAAACAGCCTGCCGAGTACGGGACACATTTCTAAAGAGTAAGCTTGCACTACAATCAATCGATCCAAGCCAGGGCACGGCTCTCGAGTACTTGTACTCCAATCGACACGAAGACAAGGGTTTTCGAGTACTGTAAGCGAAAAATTCGCTTTTGGGGCTCCAGTGAGACGTAGTTACCGTCTCGGCTTCCTTTCTTTGTTGGATACGGAAGTTTTACGTGTCACTCGAGCCCCACAAGCGAATTTGTCGCTTATACACACAGACCGAAGACATAATGCAGATCTGGCGAAAACATTTTGATCGTCACTTGAACAACCCTTCGGAGATTGACTGGCCTACATTGAACGGCCTGAAGCAGCACGAGGTGAAGATGAGTCTGGCACACACGTGGACACTAGATGAGACGTAGAGAGCACTTGCTCAGCTGCGAAATGGCAAGTGTGCTGGAGCCGACGAGATCTCGCCTGAAGTATTGAAACATGGCGGACCCGCGTTGGTGACTGCGCTGCATCACTTGGTGCAACGCTTGTGCATTGAGCTGAAGGATACCCTTGTGCCATCACTGTACAGGGGCAAAGGGAGCAAGTAATGTTGCAGGAATTATCGTGGCATCAACTTGCAGTGAAACGTGGACGACGAACCGGAGAAAAGTGATATACCTCGAACGGTTTCATCAACAGTGTCTGCGACGGATTCTGAGCATCGGTTGGTGCGACAGTTGCAGACACGGTGTTACGCCGAAGTGGAATGTATGCAGTGGACTGCATACTATTGCTGAGACATCTGAGGTGGCTTGGTCATGTGTAGTGTATGGATTCGACGCGGATACCGAAACAACTGCCGTATGGCCAACTGAGTGCAGAGAAGCGGCCCATGGGAAAACCGGTTACGTTACCAGGATATGATCAAAGTGAGCCTATCACGTTCTAATGTTGATTTCAGGTATTGGGAATCGAAGGCGGTTGATGGCGTGACCCGATCACGAAGGCCGTTGCCGAGGTGCAAGAGAAAGCCCTCGTGCATGCAGAGAAGAAGCGGCAAGTGCGGAAGCGACAGTCGCCAATGGGGGTGTACTCCACCTACGGCGAGCGCGTGGTGCCGTAGCATATGCGGGAGCGAGTGCCTGAGTCAGGCAGGTTTAGCCAGCCACGAGCGAGGCCACTCGGGATCAGCACCGAAACGACGACGGGTCTTGCTGAGAACGTTTCAAAACAGGCGCAGCGTTTGCAGGTACGCTACATTCGACTGAATAACGGTGTGATTACGTGCTGAATCTTTTTATTTCAGGTGATGGTTCTGCTGTGTTGTCTTAATGCTTATTTTCTTACCTCATTGTTATGTCAGCATGAGTAAACTAATATACTGCAAACGTCGTTTAAATGAATGGTGCTTAACTTCATTTTCCCTCCATTTACATGTTTCTTGATCTATTTATCTGCCATCATCAAGTTACCGCGGCTATGTTGACAATCGATTTACACCATGTGCTAATATAGCGGCATATCCGTATGGTGTGTTTGACCTATTTCACTAGTTATTTCATTTCATGTGATTAGTTGCTGCTTGACATCCCCGGTGTGGCTGCGCTTGATGTGTATGTTGACAAGGTGCCTACGTGTTTACTACCCACTACCTCGTCGACACTGCCTCTAGGAGACAGCTGGTCGTTGCTGAAGGGAACCGGGTACACGGTCCTTGTGGTCGTGCTAGGCTCCAAGAGTGGTTCCATGTACACAGTGTGGAGCGGACTACGGTCCAGCCACCGCTTTGTGTGCGTTTGATTCTCCAAATACAGCGTGCTTATGTTTGTCTGTGAAGGAGTGTGGGCCGGCTCCGTTGATGAAACGTGGCTCCCATCCACACGCTTCCCGGTCCTATTCCTTCGGGATTATAATGGATGTGGTGTGTGTGTGGATGGAGCTGTGGGTGGTATAGCACAAGTCACCCATGGTCGCTCTGAGGGTGTAGGCGTCCTGAAGCTTTCCTATGGATGCCACAGTGACGGGCAAATCCGGAACCGGATGACACCAACAATAGTAAGTGTCTATACAATAGACGTTAAGCCAACGAAAAGATTTAAGGTATGTGCATAGTGAGTTTAAAAATCACAAAATAGAAAACGGACAACAAAAAGTTTTGTGTTTTGCACAAGTGTTTTTGCTCTTTGTCAGTTCGGTAAGTAGGGTTTTGTTAAGTAGAATCAACTGTCCCCGATTCCACGCCATCTCTTCCAGAGTCTTTAACTAGAAGTGTTCTTCATCTTTGACTCCCAAGTTCGGATGATTTAAGAGACCGAGAAAAGCTAGACTGGAATTCATCCCATTAACATTCTGCCGCCAGATGGTAGGTTGACCACGGCACGACTTCTTCCAATGCGGCTCTGCGCGACCAATGAAAACGCGCTGTGGTAAACACCCACAAGACAAGCGACATGGCCCAGCCATCTCAGTTGGTGTCGCGGTATTAGCTTGTCGATGAGGCCCGCATCACCTAGAACGCGACGCTTAACATTGTCGATGCAAACGTGGTTCCATTCACACACCAGCTATCCCCCGCAGACAACCGCGGTGAAAGGCCGAAATCCGACACCAGTCATTTACACGAATCAACTAAGATTTACTTCCATACAGTAGTACCGCATGAGCATATGCGTTGGGGTCGTCGCTGCATCGACCACATCTTCACTTTACGTCAATTGTTGGAGCACTGTCACACATATTGGCGGCCCACCGTAGTCGTGTTCCTCGACATCAAAAGTGCCTTCGATTCGGTTGATCGAAGTGCCCCTTAAGACTGTCTACTCAGGAAAGGTGGGCCCGAGAAATACGTAAATATTATCCGAGCATTATACGCGCGCAGCAAGGGCAGAGTGAGAGCTTACGGCAAGCTGTCATCGCCCTTCAATATCTCCAGCGGTGTGAGACAAGGATGCCCGTTGTCACCTTTCCTCTTCAACTTCACTATTGACGAAACCATGAGATTGCATTTACAGGACACGAAATAGAAGGTGTGGAGCTACTCCCAGGAAAAACACTTCTTGACTTAGAGTATGCAGACGACATTGCCCTCATCTGTGACAGCTCCCAGACGTGCCAAGCTGCACTGGACAGATTAGCACTTGCTGTCAGCCGCTTCGGGCTTTGCTATGCGCCTTTGGAGTGCAAAGTTTTCTTCCAAGATTGGCAGGGATCGCCTCTTGCGCTGACCCTTGGTGGGAATCAGCTAGAAGTCGTTCAGAAATTCAAATACCGGGGAAGTTGTATCAGCGCCCTTCGGATCGAAGACGAGATCACGAACCGTATAGCGAAAGCTCAAAGTGCTTTTGCTAGTCTTCGCCACCTATGGCGTCGGCGCGACATCACTCTCGCCCTGAAGGGTAGAGTGTACAATGCAGCGGTACGTTCGACCTTACTGTACGGTTGCGAAACCTGGCCCCTTAGATCAGCAGACATAAAGAGGCCAGTTACGTTCGACCATCGGTGCCTTCGCAGTTTGGCTCACATCTGTGGGAACACCGCATGAGCAACGAGCGTGTTCGACGCCTTGTTTACGGCACAGAAAAAAGAACTGAACCGCTCAACACCGTCATTTCACGCACCAAGCTCCGATGACTCGGCCACGTGCTGCACATGCCAGCCCACCGACTCCCGCGACGTGCGTTGTTTGCGCCTCGGGGGTGTGGATGGAAGAAGAAGGGAGGTGACGAAGCGATGACTTGGTCGAGAGGAATGAAGGCCCTCACTTCGGAGCTGGCCTCGGTTGGAGCGTCTCGGCTCCCTGGTTGGGGACCAAAAGACGATGAACACGTTTGGCTAGATACACTTGTTGACAAGGCTAGGAGCCGACCTCAGTGGCGTTCCTATTGTGAGTTCCTTTGATCCTCCCCATCCCTTTTAGTATCCCCCTCCAACCACGATCACAGTTCGCAGCATATAATTTTACATCCTAATTTTGCTTGTTGCCTAATAGCCGGCTGCTAGCTTTACGGAACGATGCCCATCCGCTGCCGGTAGCTCAGCTAACATGTAACTGTTGTGTTTAGTTTCTTTTTTCTTTTATGTATTGCGGTACAGTAGATAAGGCGTTTTACACCTCTAGCTAACGTATATAATGATGACATGCGTGTGTAAACGCTGCCATTTAGTGAGAGTGGAACGTTTAATGACGCCACAGATGCTTTGAATTAGCGAAAGCCGATCGCACTTTGGCAATACGGAGGGAAATTTCTCTTCCAGTAGTGCCATCCGTAGTAACGCATCATCGAAGTTAGATGAAGGCATCTACTTGTTCAAGCTGTATGCCTTCAAGAATCAATAATGAGACAGGTAGAATCCAGTTATGGAGTATGAATTTGCAATTCGATGGAACTCAGAGAAATTGAGGAAGGTTAAACATTCCAACATATATCAGGCTTTTTATCGATGTCATTCTCTAAGTAATCGAATGTAACGAAGCTTCGAACTCCAAGTGCTTAGAGTGTATGTGTAAAGTTTTCCACTTAGCCAGAACCAGGCAAATAATGAAATTATCTAAGCAAATAAGCGACAGAATTAACGAGAGAGGAAGAAAATTTCACCCGATGACGTTCACACGTCAGTCGGAGTTAAGAGACAAACTAAATTCGGAGACTCATACAGCCAGAGAATAAACAAAATTGGACAGTTTAATCGCACGGTGGTAGTACAAAAGAGTGTGGCAACTGAATAAAGATCACGTGGTGACGTCGGTTCACAACATTGGTAACGAACCTCATCATCAAAGCGCATCCAAGCAATATCGTCACCAACACATTGAATCTTCCAGCCAGGTAGCGAGGGCTCGAGCATTGCCATGTTCGTTTTTCCACAAGCACTAGGAAAGGCAGCCGCGATGAAGAATTCTTTGCCAGCAGGGTTCGTCACAGACATGATCAACATATGTTCGGCCATCCAGCCTTCATCGTAAGCGAGGGATCCGGCAATGCGGAGAGCGAAGCATTTCTTACCTAGTAAAGAGTTGCCGCCGTAACCACTTCCATAGCTAATGATCAAACGGTCTTTCGGAATATGTGAGATAATTGTCTTCTCCGGGTTGCAAGGCCAGTGGTTAATGATTTTGTCTAAAGCGATTAAATTATGAACATTCACGAACATTCATTCTAATTTAGTAAGTTTTTCATAAACAATAACAAAACACAAATTTCGCACTATAGGTAGCAAGTAAACGTAGTATGAAACAGTGAAATTATTGGTCGATGCACGAGCAGTGATATTCCGTGTATAAACCTGCAGTTAAAATGCTAGACAACAATTGATTACTGGGGATTTCCAGCATATGAGCATTATCTAAGGAGTAATTAAAGAGTGGCATAAGTCAGGATGTCTAGAAGGAGCCTCCTTATAGTTCTCGATGTAGAGCGAATGAGTAGTGGCGAAATAATGACAAGCGTTCTCAGTATAAGTGGAACCAAGAGTAAAAAGCCTTGAGAACTGAAGTTTCGCTAACACGTGTAAGAAGAAAGGAAAGTAACCCAGTCACTTACGTCTCTTCAGAGGATTATGAAACAACTAAAGAATAGGTGATGTGGACGCTGACGCGTGAGCTAACGTTAACGTGGATGATCAAGACTCCGAAATGCTGCACAGGTGCCAGTGATGCGCAAAAGTACTTCTTCCGGTAAGCTGTAACAACCGGCTGGACAGTCGAATCCAGCAATTACTCCCATTGTGTGTCCGATGACTGTAAGAGCTAGAGGCGTGGGCTCAGCATATCGGCAGTTGCTGGCAGTTTAGAGGAGCTAAGCACAAGCAGCGGCGTTCTGGATTTGTAGATGAGGAGGATTTGGTCCAAAGAAAGCGCGTGTTTCGTCTATTTTAAGTCTGACGGTTGATGACTGAATTTAAGACAAAGCCATCTTTCGAAGCTCCCTCGACAAAACAAGTAAAAGAGCGAGAAGAGCGGTAGTCCCGGACAGCTTCTCGTGGATACGTACGTACGCATGAATCGCGATAGATAAATTTTAAAGTAGAAAAGAGAACCTTCGGCACAACCGGACGTGATCAATTAAATCAAAGGCAGGCATCAAATCAAAAAGGACTATAACCGATCATCTGTAAGGGGATAATCAAGCATTTGACACAGTTTTAAGAGGTGAAAACTGTTCTATCAGAGCAGAAACTAGCCTGACATCCGCTTGCTCTACTTTCTCGAGGACTAATGAGCCGCAGTATAACACATGAAGGCGATTTGGAGGCAATGGAAACAAAGTGAGTGCAAAAGGTTTTGAGACGCCACCATTAATTAAAATCACACTGTGTGGATGGTAAAAACAATAAGCAAGTTATTACCGCCATTCGGAAACGGCGGCGACAAATCATCAACTCCGTACGCCATGTTTCGCCTACGTAACGCAGATTCAGGCCGTGCTTCGGTGACATTGTGGGCCAGACCGGCCGTTCGGTAAAATGATCCGCCTAATGATTAAATCTTTACGGCTGAAAATGGAGTATTTATCGGTCTTTATCACCTTTGTGTTAACTCGCAGATGTCTCACCCTATCCGTGCAACTGATAAGAAGAGTGCTCAGCTGTTTCTGAACACAGTGGTTCTATTCATCAACCAAGCCGCTACTGTTCCCAAACAATCCCGGGACCGTTGATCAAGCGCCTTTCTAGGGTGGTGCGGTGCCGTATTGTTAGTTTCTATATTAACAACAACAATACAACACCAGCTTGTGTATGCTGGTGAATTATTTTGTGAATTCAGTTGCATCGGTTACCCTTGGTACACCAAACAGAAGGCACTGATTCCATGTTGACTTCGTGCAGCTAGTATTCGGATTAATTGAATTACCGAATAAGTGACTTCTGACGCTTTTTTATTCCGTGTGTAATGGATGCGATTCGGGGCAGCTATCGATAGATTTCCTCCGCTGGATACCGATATCTGACGTTCCAAATAAAACCGAGAGAGTCGCCTGTCGGAGCGGGAGTCAAGGTGACAGATAACCTGGAGGTCAGGTGATTGGCAAAATGAACGTATGCCATGCAGGACAGAAAGCTATGCAGGTCGCCTGGATCGACTGTCCGACATGTTGCTGAGAAGCAGTCAATTGACCATGTTCGCTTCGTTTGATTAACACCAGGTAAGACAATGTGAACGATTTTTGCCGGAATGTACCCTTCAACTCGTGAAAGATAGTCATAGAAATATGATCACTCAAGTCAGTGAAATTTCTTTTCGACCACGTTTTCGTATAGGACAGCTAGAGCTGGTTGAATTACAACAAAGAAGCGCAATGATTAGAAAACCAACTTCTCAATCGGCATTGTAGCCAATCGGTTCAGGTAACGGGAATCGTGGTATCCGCACATATGCGCCAACATATACTGCACAAACGCAATACATAAAACCACGTAACTGCTGATCGGGGAGATGGGGTGGCGGAGAGCCACTTGGTTGCCAGCTGTAGCCGTGGTGAATGACAGTCGTACTTTTGTTACGGCCATGGCAAGCGAAGATTCTATACTAGAGCCCCCTGTTTGCAAAATTTGTGTTGTCAGACTGATTGCAATGGCTTCGTTCATTAACAGACGTTTCTGAATCATTTACATTATCGTTTCGTAACGAATTGAAAAAGTATAGGAGCGTCCGTAGCCACTATATGCTGTAGGCTTTGGACTAAGTGGGTCAAGAGAGAGCTATTGACAGTCCACAGCACTGCTAAGCAGTGTTCTGCTATCTGTCCCGCCAAATGCCTAATCGTGCGTCGGAGGTGTTTTACACCATATGCATTATTGGAGAGTAGAGGAAGGTGGGGTTTAAATTGCATTTTCAATGGAGATTCATCACAGCCATAACCAGTCAGACAGTCGGTACACTTCCGGAAAAGCATTCAGCGATCGTTTTGTACCTCCGGGACTCGTCCGCAATGCGCGTCTTATTCGACCGGTGAGGGGCTATAACTCGTGACTCTTCACTTGAGAGTCGGTGGACACGGGAGAGGAGCTAGAGCCATCATGATTGAGTAACTAGTACGTTTACTCATCCACAACTGTCATGAACGTTTCGGACGCGAAGAGGACCAGGTTGGGTCAGATGAAAGGTATGAAAGTTAGGAGAACCAAAAGAATGAAGCGGCAGCCAGGCATATTACCGGACATACAATAGTTGTCAGATTAGCCGTGAAGAGTTTCTTTTGAAACTGCAGCTCCGGTCTGAACCCCCATCCCGATGTATTTGCGACTGCATTTTATGCTCCCCATCATTCTGTTGACGCCAGTTATGACAAGCCGTTTTTCCGCAACCGAACCACAAGCGGCTAACTCAAGTAAAGATTGTGGCCGGTATAAAATAGGAGACGCTGATCGCCAGTATCACGCAGACAAGAGCTGATCCAAGAATGATCTCCAGTGCGAAAGTCGGACTGCGGCTGAAAAGTGCGATCCAAAGAAAGCATCCGATAGTACGGTAATTGGGCACAGTGTCTGTATTCTAATCCACAATTACTATTACCATCCGCCCCGTTGGGCCGGACAATACAGAAACAGGTGGTGAACTTCCTGTGTCCGCCTCGCATCGCGGGAGAACGCAACGGGTAGAGTCATGACTATTGAAGTTGGAAACCAAGGGCGAATCTGTGGTTAGAACAGCGGGGAAGTTCCACGACAGCTTCTGCGCCGGTTGCTCAAATCCTCTCGCACTTGAGCTATGTAAGGACAACAGTGGAATCCTGCTAAACGATTTAACTTCTCTATTGGGACGATAAAAGAAACAAAAGCTATCTCAGAAAACTGGGGCAAATCGGTCCTGGTGACAAGATTAAAGAAAAAACCTTACTAGCGCTTGTGGCAGTAGTCAAATGCAATGTTAAACATAGCTACTATGTTGTGGAGGTCGTGACTGCTGGAGGCCAACCTCTGTCCTCTGCAAGGTTAGTGATATATTTGGCAACAGAGGACAGGTCGCGCCACATCCCAGATGGCTTGCAAGGTATGACGGTCAGCCACCGTCACCGGTGACCCAGTGAAATAAAGCTGTTGACTACCTGGCGCCAACTGCCAGTGGTCAAGGGTTAGATTCTCTGCAGAAGACCAAGGGATTGCGCACTAGTGACGAGCCTCCGATAGGGAGAAACGAGCGCCTGGTGCTCTGCCAGGTTGGTAGTTAGATTATTTTGTTTGTTAGGTGCTGGGACAAACAAGTAAGATTATAAAGATTCACTCGATGCTGGCATTATTCATCTGCCTCTTTATGAGAAACAAGAAGGTAGGCGATGAAAGTGGGAGAATTAGCAACTAGGGGAGTGGCTGGGGGCAGCCCATTTTAAGCCTCAAGAGCGTCACACGTACAACATGCCAACTAGAGCGGCATTCGACTCAAGCGATCGCTCCGCCCTATCTTTGGGAATATTCCCAGGAGGCAGTAACAATTTACGCAGACATGAATATGAACATTCCAGGTCGTATCTGAGGCAACAGTGGGTTGCCGGAAGTCCATCCGGTCAAAATTGTTCAGTTCATTGTTACGGTACAATACTATTGTAGACTCCTTGCAAAGTATGGCAAACAGCATTATGGAAACCAAGTTATCAAACCGATGCTGATAAATTTGCCCGGCTGTTTGACAACCGAGGGGTGACACAACCGATCCTGGACAAATTCATAGGGAATAGATTAACTCCTTCACAAGCACTTGGCACCTTTAAACTTCAAATGACGGCTATTTAATCACAAGTCATTTGCTGACGCAATGAGGGCTGAAGATGAATTAGAGATGGATTGTCATCTGGATCAGCAACGACTAGCGCGTGACTGGTGAAGTTGTCTCGTGTAATTTGAGAGCTAGAACTGACCTCATAAACCTGACAAATGTGATGTCAGAAACGAAGATCCCTAGACCTTAGAGGTCGTACATACAAAATCACAATGAAAAAAGGCATCAGCAGTATGCCGATACGCAGTACCGACGCATTGCTGCCGCACAACCACCACCAGTTGCACTGGGCTAAGAATACTGGGAAGGGGGGGGACGGCGCCTTGCTGCTACGCAGACTCGAACCCGCGCCGTCAGACTACCAGAAAGGCTTGTTGCCTTTAGGCTACGAGCCACTGTGAAGAGCGTTCTCTTCCATGGCAGTTATATTTTGGTCTAATCTTTCACGACACCTTCAAATTTTGGCCAACACTACACATGAAGCATTGCTCAGAACGAATAAATAATCATATCTGCGACGGTGGACCAAACAGGTGAATACAAGGTAATTTGTCATACCAACAAACGATATTGAATAAGCTGCACTATTCCCAGTAGGTGGTACGTATTTCAGACATGGTGTGTTGCACTCCCCTCACAATCAGCAGGCTCCGATACGTCAGGAAAAGCACCAGATAGCTGTTTCGATCTTGTGGGTCTCGACAGTGGTGTACCCTCCTCGGACCCCTGCCGCGTGCTGACCCCATGCCTTTCGGATGCTAGCAGCTTGTGCTAATAACCCGCAGGTGACGGCTGCGGACCTGCATGAATGACAATTGACTACGATATAGCGCGGCTCATCATTCACTGCCATGCCAGTTACGAACTGCAAAGGACAGTGGTTGGTCTCAGAAGCTACGGCTCCGTATAGCGACTGTGTACGACACAGTACTTAGAAGCTATACGGATGAATTTTGATTACTAATGATTAGTGAGGATTTGGGTACACGTATACCTACTCACCAGTAACCGTGATGTGTTGTTTTGTCTGCCCGATCTTGGAAGACGCAGGCCACTAAAGTTGCAACCACCTACAGGTGGATGATGTCAAAAGTCCCTAAATGGAGTGTTGTTGGACTCTCGTCTTCCAGACTAGAGCACACATGACCTCCCTGTGTATCTGGGTTGAGCGATTATAGGTCATGGACAGGAAAAAATACTAGTGGTGTGTCATCGTTTTCTAGCTTGACTGCGTGTTCAAAATGTGGTTCCGTTATCTGAAGAGTAACGTTGATAGTGAGGAGGGGCTGTGAAAGCTGTTTCGTCTTTACGATGCTTTCAATATGTAGGCAATGCAATTCCGTATGTTTGCATAGGGCAGTTACGCATCATACTAGGTCCTCCATCAGTCCTATCCTTATTCTTCATCAGTGGAATACTGAAGCGATAGTACAAAGGGTGCATGTATAGCTGAAGTAGATAAGGATTAGGGCGTCGGAATTACGCTTTCTCACTATTTCCTAACCCTGGTCCTCAATGATCAAATGATCAATGATCTGCGAACATGACACTTGCTTGTTAGCGATGAAGTGCTCCAGACCCAAATGTCATCATGATGTCCACTTAATGTACGCATGATGGGTGTGGGCTAGTTGATCTTGTAGACTCCGTATCCGATGTTGTAACTTATATCGGTATTAAGCGCGAACGGATCGGAATCGGCAAAATAGCCTGAGTAAAAACTGATGGTTCTGTATGTGACTGAGTCAAAAAAGTATGACCGGATTAAGGATGAAAGCACACACTGCTATAGGAGAAATAGAGCGCTAATTTGTTTAAATTTTAGAATAACATACACCAGGTGCTGGAGTCAATACAAAGCCGATTTGGTGCGAGAAGTTGAGAGACCTTTGCGTATAGTTGTAAACAATAGTGTCACGAACCGTGACACCAAGATGTGAGTGAAACGAACAAGAGTTTGAGCAAATGGAAAAATGACGTTGATAAAACCTGAGGTGAATTCAGTTAATCAAAAGTAATTAGAGCATTCAGGTGTCGTGAATTCGGTTATGATAATTAGTTGCCCTAAATAGATCAAAAATAACAATTAAAGGAGATTATACACAAACGGCCAAATAAAAATGATACTGGATAATGGCCAAAAGATCCGTAGTGAGCGGTCAGAAGCTGTATGCGAGTCACACAAACATCGTAACTGAGTTATAATGGACAAAGTACCTACCCACTGATATGAATGAGTTCGAAGACGGCGACGTCAGCCACACAAGTTTCGTGGCTTTCTGCAACGCGTTAGAGTGGCGGCCATCGAGGGACTTCACTCGACAAGTTGCGACGATGGTAAACAATGTACGCCAAAGTAGTCAGTCAGCAGGTATGGCATAAGTGCTGCAGACGGTCCTAGCGTGACTTCTGCAAAAGATCAACTGAGTGACCCAAGCATTACTCACTCCGTGACTCCGATGCGCAGAACGTAATGGCGAGGTAAAGTGATGGGTTGGATAACAGTCTTCACTGTTCACTGTTGGGCTTTGGAGTAGTCACTGTGTGTCTGGATTGCGACACGAATACTTTAGTAGTAATCGAGAGAGGTGTGAGTATAACACTTGCACGATCGAACTCCTGCACTCAAAGCAATAAGAAGGATGTTTCCACGCGCTCTCTTCTTGTGTTCTTTGTTTCCCTGAATATACGGATGACGCTGGCTAGATGTAAAACACTACTAGCCTTGTGACACTCAAAAATATCCTTGATGAGACTTCCGTATATCCAGACTGGGCTAGAGTTTGAGGTTTACATGCAAGCGCTCATTTCCGGAAAACTATCCCCCGCCTGTTACACGTGTGAGGTGTTGTTTGTCGAGTTCCCAACCACCGATATTCCTTTCAGAACAAAAAAAATCAAAAGAATTGGTTTGTCGCTTTTTACGAATGCCTACTCAGAGGAAGAACGTGGGTTAAGGATACGTGACCGAAGTAGCAGACATCGACGTTACAGATCAAAAGTATGGGGCTATTTGCACACCCCTGCAGATAATGTGGTGGTATACTAGGGGGTCAATTTTATCAGAAAGTAACAAAAGCGTATATAACTAGAACACGCCACGATCATGCAGGAGCGATACGGTTGTATAAGAAAACAATTAGGTAGTAACGAGTGACCAGAGTCCCTAAAGATGATAATGATACTTCTAGAGCACAAAGAGAATGTGGCCAAACGAGTTGTGCAAGTATTTCGAGTACTGAAACAACGAATACAGTGTGTACTTTCATATACCCAGTACAGTGCACGTAAGGTGGGGACAAGGAACGGAATAAGACACTGGTATTTCGTCGCTAAGGTATAGATAACACGTATATAGAACAACAGCTGTGCTTTCTGTGAACAATGTACGGAACAATGAACGGAAGCAGGAAAAATCGACACAGACCAAAACGCGACTACTTACGGTCACATGGACGGGGGCATCCCATGCTGTGCACGCACCTCACGAATTCATGGCTACTCTCCAGTACGTTCCACACTTCCGGGCACACACGCGTCATTATACGCATGCACAGGACCACATAATTACTATCTGTGACCTGTACGCCCACTTTACTCAGGGGCGAGCCCACAGGGCCCATACTGAATGGGATCACATACATCATGCGCCCTGACATGCAGCCTGGTACCCGGTCATTCAAAGCCGCGTCAAGGTCATCCGGAGAAATCCAGTGGCCCAGGACACCATCGACTCCTACGGCCACATGCGGAACAATGTCGTGCTTGTTTGGAGAACAAACCCAGGTTCGTGATTCCACCCGAGCGACGTCTCTCGGGTCAGTGCGACAAATGTAGTTATTCTCGTAGGCAGTAAGTCGGTGTAAGGTACCACGTTCGCACAATTTCTGAATGATTTCAGCGGCTTCCTTTTGGCTCCCATCACAAATGTAAATGCCCCGAGGAGTGCACAGTTCAACCTGGAGTGTTAAAGAAAGAAAACAAATTTGGAGAAAAATCTTATGATTTAGCTAGGGTTCAAAATGAATGAGAACACGACAGAATAACAAAAGAGTGTGACAACTGATCAGTTAAACTATACAAGTGAATGGTCAAAATTAAAGCACTTGGTGATCCAGAAAATATTTCTGCCATCCAACAAATATCCCCACCGACTTATCAGGCTACCCTAGGATCTTTTCTCGGATTAGTAAGTCATTACAGCGCTTTGTTGCAGAGTATACATCATGATCGCGACCCACCCAATCATCTTTTAAAGAAAGATGTACTGTGGAATTGTTCAAAAGAATACCAGTCCGCGTTAGATAAAGTTAAATCACTACAGAGTTCAGACTTGCTTCATACACATAGTGGAATACAAAATCAAAAAATGGAAACATGCAATTTTATCCTCCTTTTTCTACGCGTCAGCATATGTATTCTTCTATTTTGTCTTGTTATGCCATTTGTGCATAGTCACGCGGATTATAAGGCATGACCGTGACATTTGTTTGTCCGCATCACTGTGTTTAACCGAAGCACCGCCCTAGTGGTTCATAATCACGCACTTCACTGTTGACGTGTTGGACGTTGCTGTCCGTCTCACCGCTGCCCCCCGTTTACCGCTCACCAGGAACACAGACTGTTGGGATTGTTTCGGCTCACTGTTAAGCAATATTGAGGCTACGTCTACAAATCTAGTCGCCAGTCATTTAGGTACATTTAAATTTACTGTTATAGAATCACATTTACGAGTTCCGCTACATCGAATTTTGCTCCTTCGTTCTGGGAATCAAGCCGTGCTGAGACTAGGCTTATAGAGTGCAATATTTCATCTATTGGCACTTACACACATTACAACCTCGCTTTGTATACAGTCGTCGTTTCAGACGCTTCCAATTACAGAATCGGAGCTGTCATCTTTCATGTCTTCACAGATGGTTCATAAACAGCAATTGCTCATGCAGCCAAAACATTGTCACGAAACGCAATTACGCCAGGTCGAAAAAAAGCTCCAGCCATTGTCTTCGCGATCAAGTTTATAAACTGCTTTGTGGACATAATTTTACCCTCACAACGGAGCACAAGTTTTCTCGGTATCATCGAATACGAAAAGGTGTCCCAATAGACACAGCTGATCAGCTTCAACGATGGACTACTATGCTACTGGGATAGATCTTTTCCATAAAATACCAGTTGACTTAAGATATTGGCCAGGCAGATTTTTGTCACGACTTATGGAATCTAACTACCAACCACCGGAAGATACAGTTGTCATGTCAGTATCCGTAGAGCCAGAAAAAAGCACCGTGCTGCTATCTCAGTCCGCGCACTACCAGTTACTTCTATGATCCGGAGCCGTGGCTGCATCGATCACATCTTCACTTTACGTCAATTGTTGGAGCACCGTCACACATATTCGCGGCCCACCGTAGTCGTGTTCCTCGACATCAAAAGTGCCTTCGATTCGGTTGATCGAAGTGCCCCTTAAGACTGTCTACTCAGGAAAGGTGGGCACGAGAAATATGTAAATATTATCCGAGCATTATAGGCGCGTAGCAAGGGCAGAGTGAGGGCTTACGGCAAGCTGTCACCGCCCTTCAATATCTCCAGCGGTGTGAGACAAGGATGCCCGTTGTCACCTTTCCTCTTCAACTTCACTATTGACGAAACCATGAGATTGCATTTACAGGACACGAAATAGAAGGTGTGGAGCTACTCCCAGGAAAAACACTTCTTGACTTAGAGTATGCAGATGACATTGCCCTCATCTATGACAGATCCCAGACGTGCCAAGCTGCACTGTCAGCCGCTTCGGGCTTTGCTATGCGCCTTTGGAGTGCAAAGTTTTCTTCCAAGATTGGCAGGGATCGCCTCTTGCGCTGACCCTTGGTGGGAATCAGCTAGAAGTCGTTCAGAAATTCAAATACCGGGGAAGTTGTATCAGCGCCCTTCGGATCGAAGACGAGATCACGAACCGTATAGCGAAAGCTCAAAGTGCTTTTGCTAGTCTTCGCCACCTATGGCGTCGGCGCGACATCACTCTCGCCCTGAAGGGTAGAGTGTACAATGCAGCGGTACGTTCGACCTTACTGTACGGTTGCGAAACCTGGCCCCCTAGATCAGCAGACATAAAGAGGCCAGTTACGTTCGACCATCGGTGCCTTCGCTGTTTGGCTCACATCTATGGGAACGCCGCATGAGCAACGAGCGTGTTCGACGCCTTGTTTACGGCACAGGAAAAGGAACTGAATCACTCATCATCGTCATTTCATGCACCAGGCTCCGATGACTCGGTCACGTGCTGCATATGCCAGCCCACCGACTCCCGCGACGTGCGTTGTTTGCGCCCCGGGGTGTGGATGGAAGAAAAAGGGAGGTGACGAAGCGATGACTTGGTCGAGAGGAATGAAGGCCCTCACTTCGGAGCTGGCCTCGGTTGGAGCGCCTCAGCTCCCTGGTTGGGGACCAAAAGACGATAAACACGTTTGGCTAGATACACTTGTTGACAAGGCTAGGAGCCGACCTCAGTGGCGTTCCTATTGTGAGTTCCTTTGATCCTCCCCATCCCTTTTAGCCTCCCCCTCCAACCACGATCACAGTTCGTAGCATAATATAATTTTACATCATAATTTTGCTTGTTGCCTAATAGCCGGCTGTTAGCTTTACGGAACGATGCCCACCCGTTGCTGGTAGCTCAGCTGGCATGCAACTGTTGTGCTTAGTTTCTTTTTTCTTTTATGTATTGCGGCACAGTAGCTAAGGCGTTTTACACCTCTAGCTAACGTGTATAATGATGATGATGACAACTATGATCCGCGAGCCCACTGCTCATGACCCGTTGCTACAGGAAGTTATACGTTTTCATCGCACTCACTGGCGGTCATCGTGCCCTTCTTTACAACTTCAATCGTTCTACCAACGTCGTTCTTCTTTGGCCGAGGTCGATGGGTGTATTCTCTTTGCCTGTGTTGTAGTACCTACAACTTCGCAGGAATGTGTTCCGAAGCAGTTTCACTTCAGGCAACCTGGGATAAATCGCAGGAAAGCCTAAGCACGTAGTTACGTGCATTGATCGAAAATGGATAAGCAGTTGGAAGGACTTGTCCCAACCAGTTCGAAATGCCAACCGTCTACAAAATCCCCTTGCAAAAAGAAATTATGCTCATGGCCAGTACCAGATACCGCTTGGTCACGATTTCGTGTTTACTTTGTCGTACCAATCAACGGCCAAAACTATCTACTCCTGGCTGATGCATACAGTAAATGGCCGGACGTTTTCACCATGGATCGTCACACAGCTCGTTCTACTATTTTAGAGCCATAGCGTTTGTTTAGTTATTTTGGGGTTCCACACACCCTTGTCTCTGACGACGGTACAACGTTCACTACCGCAGAATTCCCCGCCTTTTGTGAACAAAACTATATCCAGCATATCCGATCGCCGCCATTCCACCAACAATCAAAGACTAAGTGGAACGTTTCGTTGACACTTTCAAGCGATCGCTGTTTAAGCTCAAAGGAAGAGAACTACTCCGGAAATCATCGAAATCTTCTTGCTGAGTTACAGATCAACGCCAAATGTTAATACACCAAATAGAAATTCACCGGCGTAAGCTTTGATGAACCAGAAGCTATGCTGACCCCTCGACTATATCAGTCCAGCCTCACATCTTCCGATTGGTCGAAACATCCGCATGGAGAAACATTTCAACCATCAGCACGGTACCGTGAATCGCACATTTCACGTTGGTCAATCTGTGTCCGTTAAGGATTATGATGATGTTGACGAAAAGTGGACGCAAGGCCTGATTGTACGCCGCACGGGTCAGGTTAACTATGAAGTGGATGTACACTTCTCACTATTGGTCTGCCATGCCAACCAGCTGTCTTCGTCCCCTTGAAAAACAACGCCTCATGATCCTGACCTTCTTATCGACATTTTTCTGGATACTTTTGTGCTCCCGCAGAGGTCCGAAACCCAGGAGGAAATCACCCAACCAGCCAAGTCAGTCGATTACACACCTAGAATATGGAGTGATCGAATCAAACGGCAGCGTGCGCCTATGCAGACGGATCCACGACAGTAATCGTAGGAACATTCAATCTTAAGGGGAAGCGCTAGGAGGAATGCGTCCAAACGGATTCATTACCTTCGTTGACACCTACGTTCATTACCTACAACAATATTTTCCCATCCTGGACTGTGATGCTCTTTCCCTTCCACTGTAGTATGTTTAACCTCTCCGGAATTTTCCCACCCGGAGATATATCATCCATCAGTGCTTGTGTGTCTTCGCATCTTCCGTGGGTTGGAATTGGTTGATTGAAAGACACCAAAAAGATAACAAGTACCTTGCCTTCAACCGTTGGTTAATAATGGAGATGAAGTCTCGAAGCCGAATGTCACACAAACGGCTGTTCATCAGAATCCATACTAAAAGAGCAGCTTTCAAATGACTGCCGGAGCGACCTCAACACCATAAATGTCAAAAGCTATCGATTCAGCAGTATCAGACAGACGAACGGTGTAAGCAACGCCGCTGAGATTTGAATCTAGTAAAGGTAGAGTAACTAGGAACAGTTGTCTTGCACGTATGTGCATGGATACAACATACATCAACTCTGAGAGTAAAAGCGGAGTGAGTGCAGTCTGTTGATCGAGATGACAGTGTGGAGACGTTAACATCTTGGGTAGAAGGGTATTATAGGTATTATAAGTAGTACAGACGTACGTACTACAAACGACCCGGTCCCGTTGAAAGTGTGGATGATGAACACAGCTTTTGGCTCAAGTTGACATAAACGAGAAGAAATCTTGTTAAAATGAATGAAAACAGAGAAAAGATTATTGGCGACGATCCCTACTCTCTGGCTACCCAGTATAAGAGAGCAGTTCTGTTCGAGGTGTCATCCCTCTAGCCAATAATACAACAGTTTAGTCCATAACGTAGTGAAATTGAGGTGTGCTTGAGGGATTCCACTCGGAGTCTCCCTCGGTAGCCTAGTCAACAATGCAACAGGGAGCATGTCCATTTCTGAAAATGGCTGCAGGGTCATACTGTGAGTTGTCCGAGGTTGGTCTCGCGTAGTCTTAAAAGACCCAGAAAATATCGTGGATGTTAACGATCGTAGTATATCACGCCCATCGCAATGAGGCTGGACCTTACCGTGGTGAGATGGTGTGCGTACCTCAGAGATCCATTGAGCTATGCTGGGTGGTGCTTTTTTGCACCTTCAGAGCCACTCATACCAGATTGGTCAATGGTTAGAGGCCAGATAAATTCAGCCTCCTGGTCCTCCAGGTTGGGGGTTGGAATGGGGGTGGCTCCTCATTTCATAAAATTGGCTCAGTAATCCAGTGCCCAAATCCGCTGCCTTGCGGTAAGGTTTTTGAACCAAAGGCTTTGGTTGAGAACCCTAATCGTTCTCCTGTCTAGGCCTGGGCAACCTGACAGTATTCTGCCCACGCAATACAATGAACCTTTCCTACAACAATTTCTTGATGCTCTGGCCGTCGCAGAGGATAATCAACAGCGCCCTATCTGCTGCATCGAGCAGGGTGGATAGGGGTTTGGATGCTACTGCTCAGGCCTTCCCGTCTTCTTATACCCCTTCTTGCGCTTCTTCATCCTTATCGTCCCGCTCAAACTTTACTTATATCCCCCATTTTCAATCCCCCCAATACTTGGCCCTCCACCAGCTTACTTCAATAGTCGCTTGTCTTCTAATTTCAAATCACACACAATCGCAGGACCTCGCTCCAATCCAGTCGACAAGTCCATGTTCAACCAAGCGGACAACGTCAGTTCATCCGTTTCTCTTTGGAGTCCCCGTGTCTCGCTAAGACTGGCATGCCCCAACGTGTGCACTTTGCTGCAGATTGGACAACAAGCAGCACTTGCCCGCACAGTAGTGACTCTATCGATCGATACCTGCTGTTTATCAGAAACGCGCCTGCAAGGTTCGAGCTAAGTGCTTACCCTGAGATCCCCCACATGCGACACTGGCGGCACATTCTCATTGCGCCTGTCTGGCGATGATGCAGCTTCAAATGCCGGTCAAGCTGGCGTCGGCATTGTTTTCAGTCCCCGGGCTGAAGCTGCCTGATTGATTGGATCCCAGTAAACAGTAGGATGTGCGCCGTTAGATTAGCTGGTTCGTTCCGTGCTACGAAGTCGCGCGGGGACAAACGGTGCCTGTTTGTCATTGCGGCCTACGCCCCTACAAACTGTAGCATTGATCCGGTAAAAGATGGTTTCTATCAGCAACTTCACGAGCTCCTTCGTTACAGAACAAGCACGGATACTGTGGTGTTGACTGGCGATCTAAACGCCCAAGTCGGAAAATTGTCCTCTGCTGAGCTTCATCTGGGCGGCCAACATTGTGTAGGCTTCCGTAATGATAATGGTGAGCGACTGCTACAGCTTTGTGAAAACGCTCGCCTTTATCTCGCGAGCACTAATTTTCGACACAGCACCCGCAGAAGCGTGACTTGGCGGCCACCAGCTTTGGGCCAGCCGTGGACGCAAATCGATCATATCGCGATCAGTTACCGCTGGAGAGGCTGTGTCCAAAACTGTCGCTCGATTTGGAGCACGAGCGTGGACTCTGACCACGCACTTGTCTGTGTCGACCTCCTGGTGCGTTTCGGTGGACGTCCGCAACGTCAAGGTGAACGGATTGACACCAGTCAGCTGGCGAAGCCAGATGTTCTGAATGTATACCATAGTGCGCTGACATCTGGGCTGAGTAAGCGCCCACTAAACTCCATCGATGATCACTGGTCGCATATTCGTCAAGCGTTGCTGTTAGCAGGCATGTCTTCATGCGGCAAAGCAAATTGCCAAACCGGACATTGGGTCTCTACACAGTCTCTGGAACTTATGGATGCTCGCCGACGTATTCCGGCTGGAAGCGAATACAATGAGGCTCGCAAAAATCTCAGGGCAAAACTACGTGCTAGCCGGAAGAAGGACCGCGAAACCTGGTGGTCTCATCGTGCCTCTGAGATGGAAACCGCCTCTGCCGTTGGTAATCATCGTAAGTTATTCCGTCTGATATGGGAAACAAGCAGAAGGAGACCTAATATTAGCCAGACCATACGCGACGAGAGTGGGCAGCTGATCCACAGCCTGTCAAAACGCTTGGAGCGTTAGGCTGAACACTTTACAAGGCAATTTAACCAACCTGGGTTATCGCTTTCTTCTTCAGACATTGAGCGCCCTTTTCCCTGGGCCCTCTTTGGATTCGCCCTCACTTGCAGAAGTCGAACGTGAGATCAGGCTGTTGAAATTGCATAAGGCCGCAGGGGCAGATAGAATTCCCCCAGCCCTCTTCAAATTCGGGGGATCTGCTCTTGTAGATGATTTACACGAGTTGCTAGTAAAACTTTCGGAGCAGGAGACAGTCCCGACAGACTGGAACCGCTCCGTCATTGTCCCAATGTTCAAGGGAGGCTCCCGTTCGGAATGCGGCAATCATAGAGGGATCAGTCTGATCTCAATTGCCTCTAAATTGCTTGCGTCTATCGTTCTCCACAGACTGACTGACACTCGTGAAGGCCAGATCCGCGAAGAGCAAGCCGGGTTTCGACGAGGTCAGGGTTGCATTGACCACATCTTCACCTTGCGTCAAGTGTTGGAGCACCGCCATGTTTATTGACGACCCATCGTTGTCGTGTTTCTCGACATCAAAGATGCCTTCGACTCAGTCGATCGACGTGCCCAATGGGACTGTCTGCTGAGGAAAGGTGTGCCTGATAATTACGTAAACATTATCAAAGCGCTGTATGCGCATAGTTCGGGCAGGGTGAGGGTTTATGGCAAACTATCGCCACCCTTCAGTATCTCCAGCGGTGTGAGACAAGGATGCCCGCTGTCACCTTTCCTCTTCAACTTCGCTATTGATGAAGTCACGGAAACAGCGTTCGCTGGACACGACCTAGAAGGTGTGGAGCTACTTCCTGGTGAGCGACTTCTTGACTTGGAGTATGCGGACGATATTGCCCTAATCTGTGACAGCTCCCAAACATGCCAAACAGCACTGGACCGATTAGCACTGGCTGTCTATAGTTTTTGGCTATGCTTTGCCCCATCGAAATGCAAAGTACTTCTCCAAGATTGGCAGGGACCCAACCCTGCGCTAGCGCTTGGTGGTGATCTGCTAGAAGTCGTTCAGGAATTCAAGTACCTGAGCAGCTATGTTAGCACCCGTGGGATTGAAGATAAGGTTACGAACCGTATAGCAATAGCTCGAGGTGTTTTTGCCAATCTCCGCCACCTGTGGCGCAGACGCGACATTACTCTCGCCCTGAAGGGTAGAGTTTATAACGCAGCCATCCGTTCAACTCTCCAATATGGTTGTGAAACCCGGCCCATCTGATCGACAGACAGAAAGAGGCTCGTCATATTCGATCATCACTGCCTATGCAGCTTCGCTCATGTCTGGTGGGAGCACCGCGTGAGCAATGAGCGTGTTCGGCGTCGCGTATTTGGTGCAGGAAGAGCGAGTGAACCGCTCAGCACCATAATATCACGCACCAGACTCCGACGGCTGGGCCAAGTGTTGCGCGTGCCAGCACACCGACTTCCGCGACGTGCATTGTTTGCGCGTTGTGGGTGCGGCTGGAAGAGGAGGAGGGCAGGCCAAGCGATGACTTGTTCGAGAGAGATGAAAACCCCAATTTCGAAGTTGGCGTCGATTGATGCATTCCGACTGCCTGACTGGGGTCCTAAAGACGGTGAACACGTTTGGTTGGACACATGCTGATATGGTTTGGAGCCGGCCCCAATGGCGTTTGTGTTGTGAGTTCCTTTGTTCACCCCCCTCCTTCTTAGCACCTCCTTCAATCACGATCTCACTTGTTAGGCATAATATGACTCTCTTTTACGGCAACCAGCTGTTAGCTCTCCGGAACGATGTCCATCCGTTACTGGGGACTCAGCAGGCGTGCCACAGTTTGTTTACCTTTTCTTGTCTTTTGTATTGCGGCACAATAGCTGAGGTGTTTTCCACCTCCAGCTAACGTGTAATGATGATGATGAGTATATCACGCACCTACGACTAGAGTCAAATGCAGGTAGAAGCCGGCGGGTTAGGACTCTCTTGTGCTGTCTGACTTGAGGTTAGTGGTTATAAGCCACTGAGCGAGGATGGTGCTCTGTCACCGTAAAAGGTATTATGTGGCGTTGGTGCTCTATGGCAATCCAGTTGAGCTTCAAACTGTATACTAGCAACCCATGCCCGGGTTTTGAAAGAAGAATACCACCAATTTCTTCCCGATTAAAAAATTAAGAATACTGAAACTGAATCGGTCTGAGCATGCGGGTCTGAAGGCACTTGGAAAGTGCCACCTAACATTGCTCAACGGATCACCGAAGTGTACAAATCACCACACAGCATTAAGGTCCAGTCTAGTGGTGATGATGAGAATCGCTGCAACTTCGCTGTTCCGTTCTAAAAGAAAGTCATAGGTGATAAACAAAACCACTACACAAATAATGCTAGATCATAAACGGTGTCAGCAGAACGCCGGCACATCGTACAGACACGCGCGACTACCACCGGGCGCGCGTGGGCTGGGTATACTGCGAGGTCGCTTTCACTTACGCGGATTTGAACCGTTGACATACGGATTAAAAGGCAGATGTGTAAGCATACTATGAGTGTCTTACCCATTTTCCAATGAAGGTTTTCACAGCCTCTGGAAGCATCGAATAATCGCCTTTTGCTACTGGGACATTGCCCAAGTGAGGCACAACGATCTCATGAATTTCAAAACAAGCTTCTTCTGTTTCTTGCCACATGAACAAGCTGAAATGAACAGATGCGCGATCTTGGTTAACATAAGTGCTCTTAAGTAACGAACTGGCATACAAGGCGACATATGAAAAATGATAGTAAGTAATTCATATCGAAAACAGCCGCACGGAAAGAAAATAGCCATAAACCCTAGTCCGTATGTTTCCGTTTATTGTTACCGTAGTCACGTCAAACGCGAAGGCGCACAATAATTCTCAACTAGCACATCATCAGGGGTGCAAGTTCTAGCGAGGATGAAAAGACAGGGGTACACAGCGAGTGTTCCTACCAGTGTGTGTAAGTGACTCGGGGCCGACAAGATTGTGCGAATTGAATACATTGTACGGTAGAAAGCAAATGGGATAATCTTTGTCAGCTTCAGCACACTCCGACCAGTGTGAGAATGGTGTGTGTTATAGCGAAGTGGTATTTCACAGTGAGTGAGTACAGTTTCAGGGTTAACAGCGAGATCCAGACACATTAAGCAAGTGTAAATCAAACAGCTTCGTGAAACATTTCTTAGTGGAGGCACTGGTCACAGCCTCCGGTAAGTGGTCCCAAACGGACGTAGTGTCTCCTGGGTTTAAAGAGTCCAACTGTGCCCGCGTGTTGAGTTATCTCTGTTAACCTAAAGGAATTGATTGGACTCACTACTTAATCCCCCACGAGAATGCGTCTAGTGTAAATCTGGTCTTCACGACGAGGGTAGCCGAGAGAGAACAGGTCCATACGTTGGAGTCGAGCGGAATAAGACAAATCTCGAAACACCAGGATTGATTTTGAACTTCACCCCTGAACTTTTTCAATCGGGTCACACTAGAACTTGATGCGTGCGAAACTTGCTGGCAAAAAATACTTGAGGATGGAGCGGGCATATAAGACGAACATAAGTTTAAAGATATCAAGAGTCACCCGAGAGAATAACCTTATAGACATCCTGTTGGTTGTAGTGACTTTTTCATTGTATCATGCGTTGTTCGAAGATCTGAAGACATGATTACACTGAGGTCACTCAATCGAGAGTCATACGTGAGCAAAGAACCGCGGTGGTAGGTACCGAGTAGTTAGAGTTTCAATTGAGAGAACAAAGTACTTTTCACAGTTAAAAGGTAACCCCCAATGGGATTGACCAGCCTTGCCGCAAGCTAAGCGTCGTCTCAATCTGTCAGAGCCATCGCGAATGTTAACCTCCAACCGCAGCTTCAGACCATCGGCAAAGATTAAACAATCAGCCTGAAGCGCAGCCGGAAGGTTATTGATGAAGGTTTTGATTAGTCCCGAGCCTAGGGCAGAACTTTGTGGCACTTACTGAAGGTGAAAAAAATAACATCTCATACAGGATTTTGCCTTCATAAACTTCAAAATAGCAAGAAAACATTTCAACAGAATAATCTGAATTTAGATACTTCGCGTGCGCCCAACCCGTAGCCTTGCGGATTACAAGCCTGCCTTGTAATCGGACGGTGCGAGTTCGAGCTTACAAAGGGGACCGGGTGACTCTCGTAGTATCCTTAGCTTACATGCGACTGGTGGTGGTTGCGCTGCAGCGAAGCGTCGATACTGCGTACCTGCGTAATGTTGACACTTTACCGTCGAAGCAGCCTAGAAGTCAACCCCAGCACGATTTGACGCTTTCCACACATAATCAGTGTTATATAAACTGTTGGGTCTGACAAGTTTACCGAAAAGAAATTCTAACCCTGAGCTGATTTCTTGTTCTGATTTATTTTAATAAATGGGAATATTTAATTCGTTGAAGACCAGCAGTACTCGTGATTTGTTGAAGCAAGGTCAGAGACATCAGAGACTGCAGGCGTGAGTACTCGGTCGAAGATGTGCGACTGCCCGTAAGTAGCCGATTAGGTGTCGAAACATTTTGAATCAAGTTAACCTCCAGGACGGTTTCCAGTAAAACATTGTGAAAAAACTCGAAGGAAGATCCCTGTGGGCTAAATCCAAGCCAACACTTACGGTATGGAAAGTGCCCATACTCAGTGAGTCTTTGCTTCCTTCTTACTTTTTCACCGATTGCAATAAGCAGGATCCCGATCCTAATGGAGCTCTGTAGACAACGCCGCCAATGAGCGACCTACACATGTCGTGAACTCGATACTGAAGAACTCTGCAGCCACTGCCACTGATAGTTTCCACAATATGTAACCTAAGGTCCGCTTTCCAATATAGAATAACGCCACCACAGGTCTATTATCAACAAGATCTGCCCCGGCAAGGTGAGATCCTTGGATACGCACCTCCAAGTCTTGGATATCCAGAAACAACCAAGTCTCAGTGAAAGCCATTAAATCCAGGTGGTGCACTGTGATGTAGAGATGGACCGCATCTAAGTTGTCTCTCGAGCTACACACATTCGTATAAATCATGCGTAGTTCATTCTTTGATCTTAAAGTCCCAGAATGATGAAGAATGGTCTCAGGTTTTTTGGACTACTCATAAATGCACAATACAATGAATAATTTCTCCGTCCGTTTTAAAAGCACGCAATTTCTCGACAGCTTTTTTCTTTTTAACACAGTCTTCCGGGGAGAGATATCTTAGAATGCAGGTTTTCCCTTGAGACGAAAAGTCCGTAGGAGAACGCAATGACATCCGTTCTTAGGTTTATAAACGATTTTCATAAGGCGAGCTTTGAGGGGTCCACTTGCCTTCTACCAAGGCGAAAAGCAGAAATGAGATTTGTCTCCAGCGCAGCAGCGTCAAACATAAGGGAAACGGCTCGGTATCTGAAGGCCTGGTCGTCCAATATCCTTTCAGTTGTGGTTCTCTTATTGGATTCAGGGGCATTCGTGATGATCAGCTATGGATCAAGAGCGGGGTATTTTAGTGATCGAAAGGATACTAGGAAGGTTTCAACCCGTTAGTAAACGCAAGTAAACGCAAGTTTCGGAAAGCGTAAGTTATGAGATGACCCGATCATTTCGTGCGTATCTCCTCAAGCCCGTACAAGGTAACTAACAATTTGAAAACGAGCAAGTTGGCCATCAGCTGTCCATCAATCGACCGCATCCGACCTTGCGTTTACAGTGTTAGTTGCCTTGTATGTGACAGGATAAGCACGAAATGACCGGGTCATCTCACAGCTTACGTCTTCAGATATCTGTTTAGATGTATAAAGAGAACTGCTTGTTTCAACTTTCGGAAAGAGTCAACTCACAGTCTAATCACAGTTAAGTTCGAATCATAGATTGCGCTATACCTGTGAAACCCGTCGAGCACGACGGACATAGGCGTTCGAAAGTAATTCCGCATCTAATATCCGATTCGCAAGCAGACTGAACGGTACCGTACACATGCAGAAGCAACACAGCCAAAAATCAGCACGACGAGCGCGGACAACAAAGAAGTATATTTTTATCGTTAATTCAAACAAACTGTACAAAAGATGTCATGATAAAATTAATGAAAGGAAAGACAAAATGTGAAATATTAATAACCACTACAGTATCCACTGCCAACCGGGAGCTACGGTTGACTGACGCGATAAGGGACATGTTGCAGCTTGAAATGTGACGAATTTGGACTAGGTTTGTGCTTTGATACTTTTGACTTTGCAGCTTGCATAGTAGCGCGCATAAATGAATGAGCTGATTGTGCTGGGTTTTCGCTCAATGTGGATGTACAGGACTTCTCTTTCTGACCACCGCGCCATTCTTTAATTGGAAGTGGCTCCGAAGAAAAATCAGAAGACGTACTTTGGACACTCGCGGGAGTTGCTGAACCCGCCTCAGGGGGAAGAAAAAAGAGACACTTGGAGATATTCCTAAGACAAGTCCGTGCCAGGCCGGTTTATGTAGTAAGAGGGAATGTTAAGCCAAAAAAACCAATGGGAGGAAAGTCAACTAAATAATGATAATACCAAGGTACGAGAAGTAGAAAAAAGAAAAGCTGAAGATACAAGTCGGTTAGGAGAAGAGGAAGATTTGGTACTGCCACCCAAGAGCACTCATCGAAGTCCTCAACTGTAGATTCCCTAACGACATTCCAACATCCGATAACTCGGGGCGACAAACAAGTTTCCGTCCTTACCCGGTCAGAACGCAGTTTGTGCAGCTTCAACGGGTGACCAGGAAGACTAGGCGGTCCAGCGGGACTAAACAACCAGGACAAATCTGCACCGATCCTAGGCACTAAGATATGGGAAGTGAGAATCAAGTCTCTTCTAATTCTCCAGTAGTGCATCGAGTACATTCACGACCTAAGCAAACGTTCGGGATACCTGTGCCTATGTAAACCGTGCACTAACATTGTGCCCAATTGCAAAACCCTCCAATTCCATTTTTTTCCCTTTCAAGACATGGTGGACAAGCCTGAATTCAGTATTCGAAGTGGGGGTGCACAAAAGCTGAGAACAGCTTCACAAACATATCGACCGTTATGACACTGAAGGAGCGGCGAATAAACTACATCATACGGAATCGTTTATAAGTGGCTTTCTTCCAAAAGTCCCCAGAGTGAGGGACTGAGTGTGAACGACGCCTAGATCAACTTGTTGAGTGACAACAGGGATTTCACTTCCGCTAACAACACAGCGCGTGGGGGGACTAACAGTTCCAACGCAGAGAACAAGACATTTAGCCTGATTTATGAGCATCAACCTTAAGGTTGACCAATCCCAGAGCATATCCTGACACTCCGAATCGCCAGGAATTTCCATAAGATGCCAGAGCTTGAAGCCTTCAGTAAAAAGTAGCGACGGTACCTCAAGCTAATAGTCTAAGTCACTGACATGAATTGCGAAAAGCAACGGCCCTAATACCTGACGAAATCTAGAGAGCACATCGAAAGGATATGCATAGATGGTCGCTGACTCCTAGTGGGCAGCCGTATGTAATATCACTTACGAAATCGAGTGACTTTGCAAAAACAAGATGAAAGGTAGACGGCAGCTGGTTGCCCATGTACTCAGTCGGGGGGGGGGGGATGGTTCACGAACTGATGCAAAAGCAGTTGCAACTTTAGCTCAAGAAGATCCGAGCCAAAGGTGCTCATCACTG